TATAAATTATTTTAAGCAAATTTAAAATTTTATCTTAGATATTTCTCTCTACTTGGTATACTTTTTCTTTTCTTTTTTTTCATATATTTTTATTGATTGCAGAGAGGAAGGGAGAGGGAGAGAGATAGAAACATCAATGATGAGAGAAAATCATTGATCAGCTGCCTCCTGCACACCCCCTACTGGAGATCAAGCCCACAACCCAGGCAAGTGTCCTTGACCAAAATTGAACCCAGGACTCTTCAGTCTGCTGACTGATGCTTTATCACTGAGCCAAACTGGCTAGGACCAGTATACCTTTCTTTATCACTACTCCCTGGGTGTTTGTTCACAGAAACAAATTAATTTTAATATTAGTTTATGCAAAATATGATTAGGAAGTTGACTACAGAAGTAGCTATTATATATTTCAAAGTTAAATACAAGTAATTTCTAAGTTGTATTCTGTTTCGGGTAATCCTTGTTACATTTCTGCTTATCAAGGATAATTATGATTCAGATACTCTTAATTTTTTAAAATTCTTTATTGTTTAAAGTATTACATATGAATCCTTTTCCCCCCATTGACCTCTTCCCGCTTCCCTGCCCACCCCCCACCTCACCCCTAGCACATGCCCTCACCCCCTTACTGACTGTGTCCATGGGTTATGCTTATATGCATGCATGCAAGTCCTTTGGTTGATCTCTCACACCCCCCTCCCTGCTTTACCCCTGAGATTGGATGATTTGCTTCTATGTCTCTGGATCTATTTTAGTTCATCAGTTTATGTTGTTCAGATACTCTAATTTTAACCTTGACTGACATCGTTGCAATTTAAGACACTTAATCACAATTTAGTAGCTAGGGGTATCTTTAAGGTTGTGTTATCACATATATTACTGCTTACTGATTTTAAATTGCTGATGAAGCAGCTGCAATGATAATTTTGTTCTTATGGTTTTTGTACATGAAGCTAGAGAAGATGAAGTCCCAAGAAACTTCATATGTAATTTTAAACTAATACAAATGAAAACTGTATTTGCCTGTAGCAATTTAAAGTATATTCTAGATCTTATAGTATTCATCACAGTATTGAGCCTGTATTTGTTAAAAGTTATCCATTCTGTTTATGTCTAAGTTGAAAGTCTAATTAATGTGAATGTGTATTTTTGTGCCTATTACTCATGGTTATTTTATGAAGATACCTTTACACAGGTTAAGTCTTATAAAAACTCTATGAAGTAATCATTATTATCTCCATTTCACTATGAGGATGTTAAAATCGTGGGTCAGTGGTGGGCGTTGACCTATGAACCAGGAGTTCAGGGTTTGATTCCCCGTCCAATTGTGGGCTTGATCCCCAGTGTGGAGCATGCAGTAGGCAGCTGATCAATGATTCTCTCTCATCATTGATATTTCTATCTCTCTCTCTCCATTACTCTCTGTAAGCAATAAGGAAAAAAAAAAAATATATATATATATATATATATTTAAAAAAATTTTAAATCTTCATTACAGTCCTGTAAGCAAGTTAGTAGAAGTTACTTGTATTTAAACCCTGACTCCAGAACCCATATGTGTTTCACTGTGATGTATGTTTTTCTTCATAATGTATCAGTTCTGTTGACTATATAAGTTATAAAAAGTTGACTTCATTTTCACTTAACGTGATATGTGAAAATCTAGATTAACCAATAGACAGATTTGGGATATTCTTTGCTCTTGGGAAATGATTCACGTCATGTTCTTTAAATAACACGACATTAAAAATATTATTTGCTTTCCTAAAATTCAACTTTTCACTCAAATTTTAAGAGTACTGCATTGTGCCCTGGCTGCTGGCTCAATGATTAGAGCATTGGCCCTTGCACTGAAGGGTCTCAGGTTCTATTCAAAGTCCAGGGTGCCTACCTGGATTGCAGGTTGATCCCTGGCCTTGGCCCGGGCAAGTGTGGGAGGCAACCAGTTGTTGTGTCTTCTCTCGCATCAATGTTTCTCTCTCTCTCTCTCTCTCTCTCTCTTTTTCTCTCCCTCTCTCCCTCCCTCCCTCCCTCCCTCACCTCTTCCCCCTTTTCTATCCCCCTAACTCACTCCCATCCACTCTCTCTGAAAAATCAGTGGAAAAAAATGTCCTCCTGTGAGGATTAGCAATAAAAAGAATATCTGCATTGTGAGGTGATTTTATGAAGTGAGGCAAACCTGTATTTTATTGTTCTGTATTCAGCACGCATACTTCATGAATGCCTATTTTATGCCAGTTTGTAGGTGTTTGAGATATAAGTGGCCTACAAAAGCAGACATGATTCCTGCTGACTCTGGAACTAATGTATGTGAGTTTCAAGTCTTGATTCCACCTTGACCTCCTGATAACTGTAGGATCTCAGCAGGTTCTTAGCCTTCTAAGCCTCTGTTTCATCTGTAAGAAGGAAAGAGTAATAGTACCTTTCTTAGGGTCAATTGAGGATTAATTGAGATAATGTATGTTCATAGCCTGGTATCTGATCTGGCATGTGATAAAACAGTGTTAACTTTTATTGTCATCTTAAATATAGCATTTGAAATATAAGTAATTTTCTTTTAAAGAAGTAACTGAACCAGCTTAATTAGTATCATCTTCAATCTGGGATAGTAGTCATCTTTCTTGAATTATTTGAAAAGTCTCATAAGTGTTTCATTTGTTCTACATGCTTCCATATACATTTTAGAAATATAGTACATCATAGCCATGTTTTATTTTTCATATTTTAAGGACAGTGCTATAACACTGTGAGACAATTCCAAATGCAAGAGTATATATGATTGGCTCATGGCAGGTAAAGTAACCTACTTTTTATTAACTGTTTTCTGAAAAAAGATTAAAAGTCACATTGTGATTTATTTTTTGGAGAAAAGATTTTTGAGGAAGAAATTCTTCAGTGACTGCAAACAAAAATATTATGACAGCTTCACTCTGACTTGCAATTGGCATTTTGTATGATTTCTTGAGGGTTTTGTGTGTGTGTGTGTGTGTGTGTGTGTGTGTGTGTTTAATCCTCACTGAGGATATTTTTTCATTGATTTTAGATAGAGTGGAAGAGGGAGGGAAAGACAGAGAGAAACACATCAATTGGTTGCCTCCTACACGCGCCCTTGACCGGAATCAAACCCGGGACCTTTTGGTCGGCAGGCCAATACTCTGTCCACTGAGCCATACCAGCTAGGGCTCTTGAGTTTTTTAAATGGAAAGTATTTCCAGATATTCTTAGAAAACAGTAAAACTTAAAAGTAGATATTTTCTATACACTTACAGCACAATATGATTATGTAAGTCCAACTGCAAGTAATTTTGAATTTTAAAAGATACATTTATGGAAAGTTATACAAAAGTGATCAATCTAGTCAAATTTAAGATTATCACATTGCTTTAGGAAATCATGATTTATTAAAAGCTCGAGGAGGAATTAAATACATCCAAATATAGTCCTGGCTGGGTGGTTCCATTGGCTAGAGCATCATCATCCTTTACACCAAAAGGTTGTGGGTTCGATCCACAGTCGGGGAGCGTACAAGAGGCAACCAATCGATGTTTCTCTCTCTCCCTTCCTATCTCTCTAACAGTCAACAAACACATATCCTTGGGTGAGGATTAAAAAATTTTTTAAGTGTATCAGATATAATTTTTTTAGAGACAGACATAAAAATGAATGAAAATTTCTTTAAGTAGTGGTTTCCATCAATAATAATTTGTTATAACAGTTAAATTCTCTTTTGTGAATTGATGCAAAACCTTACTTATAATACTTCAAAGGAGATTTGTTCAGTTATCTCCTGTAAAAAGATATGTCAGGGCTATTTTTATTATCAGTAATGAAATTCTGTTAGAGAAAATCTTGCTTTGACATTAAATCACTACAATGTTTTTTTATTACCAAAGTTCAAATGCCAAGGAAAAGTCAACTCATAAGCTGAGTAGGTATATAAACAATTCAATTTCTAAACTGCTAAAGTAGATTTCACTATTTTTCCTATTTTCATAGTTCCTTTAAATTCTCATTTAAAAGTACATTAAATTTTCAAGTACACAAGAGAAAAGTTGATGTTTTCATTGAAGCATTTTCTTTCTTGTTATACATAAAAGAAGATTGTATGGTTGATGTGAAGTGTGTTGTGGTTTTTTTTAATGTACATTTTTTTAAAGGACTTCTTTGTATAATAGATTTTAAAAGATTTCTCCTAGTATGTACAACCACCTTTTGTGTTATCTTAGATGTTGTAACTGGAAGTCATATTAGCTTTATTGCTAATTCTAATTTATATGTGTAAGCCAACTTTTGGCACATATGCTAATTTATGTAATCTCAGTAAAGATTTTCAGAAATATCTTGTTAAAATTAAAAATTAAGATTTAGTTGAAAGTTTTAGTGGTTAAATTTGAAAGGTGCAAATTTAAGATGTAATTTTTTCTTAGAATACAAAGTAAATAAGTGGTATAGAAATGAATAGCTGTTATTTGGGAGGGAAAAAATGCACTCACATTTAAAAGTGAGTTTCTACATTATTTCATTGAGGTAGCTGTATATAAAACTTAATTTAAAAAACACCTTTTTAGTTAGCATGAAGTAAAAAAATTAAACACAACTCAGTGAATAAGAAAAATGTGTAGTGATGTTCATTTAATATTGTTGAGCTTGAAAAATGAATAGATAGGGTGATTCTGAAAATGAATTCCTGCCTGTATTATTCTAATACCATACTCTGTTGAAATGAAGTTATTCATGCTGTGTTGGAGCTCAGCCTGCAAAGAAGTAAATTTGCTGATTTTTGTCACTTGCAAGACCATCCAGTTATTAGCCTGCCAGTTCATTATACCTGTGCATAATATTGTTTGAAATCATCAAGTGGTACTATTTGTTTTAAAGTGACACATATAACTTTTTATTATAATGATTAATGCAACCAAAGAAGCTAGTAGTGCTTATATTTTTTATTTTCAGCAAGCAGTTTTCTAGGAATTTTCAGCAATATATCAATTCAGCTATAATTCAAGTATTTAATACAGAAACTATAAATAAGCTTTTGGCGCCTACCAATAGAAATTAAATCAAAATTAATGCCTTCTTACACTCTTTTTGGTTTCACTATGCTCTGTTTTAGTAAATCTGCATATCTGTTTTTCTTGCAATGGTTAATTTTACCAGTTCCGTTTCTTTGTAGATTTTTGCCATAAGTAAAAAGGATTTTAAATCTTGTAGCCCCTTCAAATATTTTATTACCATTTACTTAAATGAATGATGATGTACATGCTTGTTTATTGTAGAAGCACCCAAGACATTTTGATTAAAAGACAGCTTAAGGAAAAATAAACAAATACAGGCATTCAGTCTTTATTTACAATATATAGGAGATCACTGTTTTCATTTTAAGTGTAAGAGTCTGATCAGCAGGAAACCCTAGAGAAGGACATTTTTAGCAATAGAATTTACATACCGTTAGCGCACAGTATTTGATTAGCAGCAGGGCTCTCAGTACAGAGCTAGCTGGGCACATTATTTGGGATGCCTTTGATGCTGTGGTTTTCCGAAGCTTGCTGGCTGCATGCTTGTTGCCTTTGTTCATGACACAGGTAATTACTTGATAAAATGAAGTGCATCGCTGTGAACAATTGACCCTTTGGAACAGTCCAGGCTGGTCAGCAGTCTGAAACCACACTTTAAAGCCATCATTATAGCCTCAAACTTAAGAGTTTCCAAGGTACAGACAAAGGTGTTGTCTTCCTTTAGTACAAGTCGAGTGCCATTTTCAGACTTTATGAAGTATTTAAATTGAATGATATTTGACGATATTGAAAACTCCTCTGGAAAACCATCCAGCCTGCTTTTGGACACCAGAACAATGCGAGATTTGATTTTTGATATGAAATCAGGAGCATTACAGAAGATTCTGAGTCCTTGTGAGCGATCGTGGTTATCTGTTATTTCCAAGAAAGTAGTCTCTCTGGATGTTAGCTGTTCTTTCTCCCACCTGGATTTCACTTCCTCTGCCAGTCCCTTGAGCTGAAAGAATTCTGCTTCTTGTGCGAGAAGTTGATTTTCTCGAAACCCTTCAGGCAGTAGAAGTTCTCCATTTCGTAGGAAGTTTAGGACGTGCCTGAAGAGGAGCCCATCCCTGTCTATGAAATAATGGCCATCAGCATCAAACGGGCAGAGGATTTTTCCATTTACTATACCTTCAAGGAAAGTGTCGGGGTACTTGGTCAGTGTTTGCTTTTGAGTAATGTATAAATATCCACCAACGTTGAGGGTCATCAGTGAAGATTTGCAGTTCTTTCCTTGGTCAGCATCTTCCAGGCTGTTGTGTTTCCCTTCATATTCCTTATCTTTATCTCTTCTGTTTACTTTACACTCCATTTTGGAAAATGCTATTTCAGCTTGTTCTTCTTGGATTTGAAATTTTTACAAAAACTGCCTCACAAACACGCCTTTATTCAGCTGCAGCCTGGTGATGGAATGGAAGTGCTGGCAGCGTCGCTCGCTCTGTCAGCTCGGTTTTGCAGTAGGTGGCGTATCAGCTATGTATGCAGGAGCTCTCTGGAGTAAGACGAGGGAAAAAAAAGATAATTTGCATTTAACTGTATCAGGGAAGGAATTTGTTGTGAAAAGACTTTCATGTATATTCTTTGAAGTAATAAAAGTTACTCAGGATAAATTAAATTTCCTTTTGACAGTTAAGCAATTATAATTGTTTAATTCTCCAGCTAAGTGTGAGTTTTTATCCATTTTTAAATGTCTACTAAGATATTACTTAATAAGGCAGGCTCTTCATATTGAATAATATTGTCTTTTGGAGTATACAGTATATTGAATTAGTCTCATTTTTTAAAAGTAAATTATAAAGAGAAAACCTAAAGAGAAAGGAACTAGGTATATATGATTTTCTCTTATATAAAAAGCTACACATTTCACAGTGGTGTAGTCATTTTAGAAACCCAAATGGGAACATTTAAACCTGTTATTTGTGATATGGCACTTGAATTTAATTATATTTGTATGTGATTCTGGTTTTGGGGTCTTTAGCAAGTGAGAAGAAGTTTTTTAATATCTGGGTTTTTTTTTTACCGTAAAAGTAAAAAATTAAATATATAGCCTTTGCAGTAATCATTTACATGTTGTTGTTTTTTGTTAAGATTTCCTATAGAATATATATAAGCTTGTTTCACCCTAAACCTGCTTCAGTGCTGAACAAAAGACTTGTACTGACGTAGAAAATATAACTCTGTGTGTGTGTGTGTGTGTGTGTACGTACGTACTTGTGCTTGTGATGATAAAAGACAAATTCAAAATACGTACTATAGTGACATGGGAAAGTTGATTTTTGTTGTTGTTTTCAGTGTTCACAAAAGATGGAGAGAAGGACTATAACCTAGGCTTTTTTGTTGTTTTGTTTTTTAAATTGGGAACTGGAATGACATGTGAGTGTTCCTTCTTCCCCTATAACTTGCCTTCCAAAGCATTTTAGTGATCTGAGCTTTCAATTCTAGAATTTAAAGACCCATGATAAGAAGTATGAACATTGTCCCCAGTACACTATTATTTGACTAGTCTGACTGCTAAATTATTCTGGGGAACTACATTGTTTTCAGAATCATAGGACTAGATTTTATATTACATTGATTTATATTTATTTTACATTAAAATAAGCGTTTTTAAATTCGTCAACAGTATGTTGATAGAAATATAGGAGCAGATTCTTCTAAACATGCTTACCTCATGTGTTCTCTAAACAATGTTAGATTTCTCAGTCATAAAAAAATTATATTAGCCCTGGCCAGTATGGCTGTTGATTAGAGAAGAGAGAGAGAATGGGAGAGGGAGGAGAGGGGGTGGGAGAGACCGCCTCCCACACAAGCCCCAACCAGGGCTGGGAATCGAACCAACGACCCTTCTGTGTGTGGGCTGGCACTCTAACCATTGAGCAACATTTGCTGGGGTCATTATAAAGATTTTGAATTTAACATTTATATGTCATTGAGATGATCAAAAGTACATTGAAATCAAACTAGAAATTTAAATCATAACATTTTTTAGGGCTGGTTATTGCTTAGAGACCATGAGATGTAACCTCTTCGTTTTACCAAAGACACAATTGCGTTCCAGAGAGTTTTTAGTTTTTTATCTAGAACTTTATAGCTTGTTAATGGCCAACACTAAGGACTAATGCTTCCTCTCAGTCCTGCCTCATTTAAGAAGAGTTTGCTGTTATATTCTGACAATTTCACGTGTGTGTTGACTTTTTGGAATCAAGTCTTCCATTGATATGACTTTTTAAGACATAGTGAATAGATTGGAAGTTTTGGTACAACTTTGGAAATATATTCATGGAATTCTTATGTTCATCATCACTGCACATGAGTAGCACCATATAATGGCAGAATCAACCAAAGTTCTTTTCATGAATGTTATGGGACATCAGAATCAATAGAACATAACTGTAGTATAGTGACAGAGACTGTGCTGGTATTTTCTTTGTATGTTTAAACTGATGTAGTCTAATACTGTGTGATGCTGGGTCTGCCTCCTTACATCCTGTCACTGGCAGTGAAGCTAGTGCTGCTAGAGGATGGGCTTCCATGGGGTGGGAAGGTGAGGCAGCAGAAGTTGAACTTTTGACCTCTTCAGCCCTCACTCCAGGGCACCTTACATTTGCTAACTTGCTCACTTCTGGTTTTGGATGCCTGTTTTTTAAAACTACTGATGCTTGCTCTTTGTTTCTGTTGCTTGTTTTGACAGGCTGAACTACCCCATCATGTGCCTCTATCCTGTGGTCACTTTTTCTCACTCTAGTGTTCTTGGCTTCCACAAACTTGACATGTATGATTTGTTTGCCACCTGTGGCTTGGCAACAATAGTTTAACGGAAACCTTGTCTAAATGCCTGACTAGAATCTGATATGAAACCGTAGAACTCTTATTCTGTGTCCTTTGTCCCCACTTGCAGTCTTTTTTATATTTTATTGATTTTTTTTTTACAGAGAGGAAGGGAGAGAGATAGAGAGTTAGAAACATCGATGAGAGAGAAACATCGATCAGCTGCCTCCTGCACATCTCCTACTGGGGATATGCCCGCAACCCAGGTACATGCCCTTGACCGGAATCGAACCTGGGACCTTTCAGTCCGCAGGCCGACGCTCTATCCACTGAGCCAAGCCGGTTTCGGCCCCACTTGCAGTCTTAAAAATGAAAATGGCACACAGTAGGCCTTTTGCATGTAACTTAACTAGAGGCCCGATGCACGAAGATTCAGGCAAGAATAGGCCTTCCTTCCCCTGGCTGTCAGCACCACCTTCGCTCCGGCCCGGAGCCACCTTCTGCCTTTGCGTGCTGCCCAGAGGCCTGGAGTGGCCAGGGTGGGGCAGAACACCTGCATCCCAGCCCGGCTGCTGCCATCTTTGTCACGTCAATTTGCATATTCCCTCCTTATTGGCTGTGGGTGCCGTCATCTTTGTCGCAAAGTGATGGTAAATTTGCATATTTCATCTTTATTAGATAGGATTGCAAAATGGCACACAGTAGGCCCCACCTTACCCTCATCACTCCATGTTATTCCATTAAAACAAGATGATTGAGTTTACAGAACTTGAAGGGAGTTGTTCATTATTGCTGCTTATTGTGGTCCACATGCCTCTTAGGAGAAAGCACCTTGGTTGTTTTTTGTTTGGTTTTGTTTTTTTCAGTCTATTCTAAACTTACGTTTACCTGCTTGAGGTGTGTGGGGTAGGGTAAGCTTATCCTAGGTAATGTCAATCATTTAATTCATTTTATCAAGAATTTAATTCATTTTAATCAAAATCTATTTCAGTGTCCAAACTTTTGTTTTGTTTTGAAATATAAATTCATCTATATTAGATGTTGTCTGGTACTGGGATTGTACTAATACAAGTGCATACTACCTCACCTACCTTATAACTATGAAAATGGTGTTTCAGGACCAAAGCTAATGGAAATATCCATGGTTTGTGTGACCACATTTCTCCGCCTTACTGCAGATACAAACTGGAATTAAGCAGTTCAGTAGATTAAACAGAAGAGCTTAACCCACACATCAATGATTAGCTAGCTCACTTAGTTCCACTAGACTTGAGAGTTTCATCTGCTTTGCAGACAAAGTTTTATTGGAGTTAGATTACCTCTATCTTAGACATCTGTAAATCACACATATACAGGACTCTTTAGCCAACTTTGAGGATTTAAACAATGCCATTGTCAGGTTCTTGATATGAGTATATCCATTGGTTAGGCCCATTTCCTACCCAAATTCTAGCTAAACCTTTCAGTATATAGTGATGCTAATTGTTCACTCTCTGCATTAGGCAAAACTTATTCTAGGCCAGTTGGAGTCATTCCCATCTTATCTACCAATTCCTGACAGGAAATGATGTCATTGTCATCACCATAATTCAATATGAGAAACATTCATTTTGATACTCAGCTATGACTATTTTACTTTAGCATCTTCTGTTAAAAAAAAAAAAAAATAGCCTAGCTAGTGTGGCTCAGTGGGTGAGCGTCAACCCATGAACCAGGTGATGAGGGTTTGATTCCATACCTGGGTTGCGGGCCTGATCCCCAGTCGGGGGCTTGCAGGAGGTAGCTGATCAGTGATTCGCTCTCATCATTGATGTTTCTATCTCTCCCTCTCCCTTCCTCTCTCTGAAATCAATAAAAACATTAATAAAAATAAATTGCACAGTATAATGTATTAACATTTTTAAAGAATCAAGAATGTAATTCATTTAATCAAAAACTATTTAAGTGTCCAAACTTTTGTTTTATTTTGAAATATAAATTCATCTACATTAGATGTTGTCTGGTACTGGGATTGTACTAATACAAGTGCATACTACCTCACCTACCTTATATTGCTGATTAATTGCAGTGTCTAAGTAACTCTGCAGATAACTCGTATCCTCCTGGGACTCACTAGATATAACCTTTGGCTAAAAAGTGATGTGGATGGGTGATTCCAGTCAGATGAATACACTTATAGATGTTTTACAGTATTAAACTGGGTCTTCAAAGAAGCCCAGGAAACTTTGCTACACCAGCAAATTTTTAGCCTCACTTGAGGAGTTAGAGAAGAATAAAGCACTATGTATCAGAAGGAGCACAAATAAAAATGACAGACTAAATGAGAAATTCAGGCAAAATTCTATCCATATTTCTTTGCGTAGCATTACAGAGGTAATCTTGAAAACAATTTACAAATCATATTAACTAATGTTTTAAATGTACTTTGGGAGATGAGTATTTCAGGGAAACCTGTTTTATAATTCTGTAAGCAGGAGTCATTCAGGTTTTTTTTAAATGAGTTTTCTCTTTTTTGAAGTGTAGCCTATGAGTTATTATTCACTAGAAAATTTTATTGTAACCAGATGAGCAAAGCACTCCTATTAACCATCAAGTGAACTTTGAAATTGTATTGAACTCATTTATATATTACTACTTGGCATTCTCTTTAAAAAGATGTTATAAATTGATAACTATTATCTACATTCTCAAATTGAGGTACATGACTTAAACTTACGAAAGTCATATTACTTTGAAATCAGTGGCCAAACGGGTCTCTTCTCCCAAATGCTGTCCTCTACCATGTTCCTTCTATTGTCCTCTTATCTTTAGATCCTCTTGTGTCTTTAGAAGTGAGATGGTGTGGAGGAGAGAGAAGGGGGCTTGAATAGCAGAACAAGATATGATAGTTCATAGGAGCAAATGCAGTTTCTTATTCATAGAGAGTAGAGTGATTGGGAATTAGGAATGGAGAACTTTATTATATTGCACATTTTGACATATAACATTTCTGAAACATTAAGCATTTCAGGGTGTATGTTAAAATTACTGGCTTATAAAAGTTTCATGGCAGTATTTTGTCTTTCTTTAGTGACACATAAAAATGGTGAATATTACAATTGATGGTATCTTGGATTTGATGAAATATTTGAGCAGCACTATGAGTTATTACTCCAGAAAATAAAACTAACAGAGATATAGGCAGGGGAAAAGTGAGAAGGAGTGGGGGTAGGAGAGAGAGATATTAAGGCAGCAGTTCGCAGCCCTAGCTGCTGCATATTAAATTATCTAGGGAGGTTACAAAAATACACTCCCTCTTGCCCTCACAATGCAGTTAGAGAATAATCTCTGGGAGTGAGCCTCTGCAGTTGATTCTAATGGTCAAGCAGAGTTGAAGGACTACTTTATTAAAGACGATGAGCTCAGGAAAGGGAACTTATCTCCAAGTAGTTCTTGATGGGGACATAATTTCTACCCTGTTGTTGTGAGGGTCACTTACAATTAAAGTATCTTTAAAATCATAAAGAACTAAACTAGTGTATGGTATTACTACTGTCACTAATTAAACATGATGAAGAAAACAGGATGAAATTAATGAAATTTGGATCATAATCAGTGATTTTAAAATGTCAGTGATTGCCAATAAGTATTTCATTAATAATATTGATAATAATAGTAATATCCCTCAACTATGTTGTAATCTTTCTAAGCAGGGTGTCTGTGTTGTGTTTTTTTCCTTTGTGCCCCTCATCACAGGTAGCACAGTTTTTGGCACTATTTAACTAAAATATAGCCCTATAGTGAGAGTCTTTTCCCTGGGAAAGTTAATCTTTCCCAGAGGGATTTGTTTTTTTCTATTTAATTACTTTTTCTGTTGTTTTTTTAAAAATTCTTTCTCATTTCAAGTGCTGCTGCCAAAGCTGGATTGCAACCTTTGATGAAGGTCTGAGTAAAACAAACAATTGCAGTACTTTGATTTCCCTGCCCTTTTGCATTTATTATTATACTAGAGGCCCGGTGCACAAAATTGTGCACTGGGGGCACGGTGTCCCTCAGCCCAGCCTGCACCCTCTCCAGTCTGGGACCCCTCGGGGGATGTCCGACTGCCGGTTTAGGCCCAACCAGGTCATCAGGGGAGGGCAGTTGGGGGCGACCAGGCCTGCAAAGGAGGGAGGGCAGTTGGGGGGGGTGACCAGGCCTGCAGGGGAGGGCAGTTGGGGGAGGCCAGGCCAGCAGGGGAGGGCAGTTGGGGGTGACCGGGCCTGCAGGGGAGGGAGGGCAGTTGGGAGTGATCAGGCCAGCAGAGGAGCAGATAGGCGTCAATCAGACCAGCAGGGGAGTGGTTAGGGGGTGATCAGGCAGGCAGGCAGGTGAGTGGTTAGGAGCCAGCAGTCCCGGATTGTGAGAGGGATGTCCGACTGCCGGTTTAGGCCTGCTTCCCAGGGGATCAGGCCTAAGCTGGCAGTCAGACATCCCTCTCGCAGCCTGAGAGCCTTCAGGGGATGTCCAACTGACGGTTTAGTCCCATGAGGAGCAGGTCTAAGCCACAGTCAGACATCCTTAGCACTGCCGAGAAGGCTGGAGAAGCTCCTGCTACTGCCGCTGCCCTCACAGCTGTCAGCCCGGCTTGTGGCTGAGTGGAGCTCCCACTGTGGGAGCGCACTGACCACCAGGGGGCAGCTCCTGCATTGAGCATCTGTCCCTTGATGGTCAATGCGCATCATAGCAATAGGTTGTTCCTGGTTGTCCCGCCCTTAGGGTCAATTTGCATATTAACCTTTTATTATATAGGGTTACAGCATTCATATCTTTTATAAAGCTGTATTTTATTTCTGGGTTTATTCAGCCTCTTGTTCTTTAAAACAACTTTGAGATTAGAGATTATGATTATTTATATAACATCATTACATCATGCCCATATCTGTAGTTAAGAGCTTTTTATATTGGATTAATTGTACGTGTGGTGTAACAAGCGAAAAGAGACTAGCATGAAGTATAGGAGGAATGATAACTTGTGAACTTGCTTTGAAAGTATTAAAATGTTTTTAAAATGCTCAGTCACTAAGTTATTTCTTTTATCAGAAATCTGTTATGGTTTCTATAGACTCATGTAACAAACTGTACATACTTATGGCCACTGCCTTTGATTTTGTACCGTGGCTAACCACTTTCCCTCTTATTCCTAGGCAATCAGTTTTGTCATTCATAGGTACCCTTTGGTCAGCACTACAACATCCGTTTTTTTCTCCCAGTCTGTAGGGGAAAAGTTGAAGAGTAATACTGTGAGTGAAGAAGTTGAAATGTTTTCTAAATACTAAATCTAGTTCTCAAACTATGGTTACAATATTTGGGTTAAAATTAGGAATTCCCAGGGCATTAGGCATATTTGAAATTTGAATATTACTGTAAGAAAACACATTACATTAACAGATAACTTTTGGGAATATTTATATGACTGCCCATTTGTTACTTTTGAGGTAAATCATCAAATCCTAACTCTGTAAGTTTACTGAAATCTGAGCATGATCGTTTATTCCTAAAATTTCTGAAGATTAAATAGAGATTAGAGAATCAATTCACAAGTTTGAATAAAAATTTCCTTTTTAATTAATTAATTAATTAATTAATTAATTAATTTTTATCTCTTAAAGTGTTACAAAGAGTATTACACATGTCTCCTTTTTTCTCCCCCTTGACATTCCCTTGGCTTCCCCCACCCTCCAGTGTCTTGTGTCCATTGGTTATTCTCATATGCATGCAAAGAAGTCTTTCGGTTGATCTCCTACTCCCCCCAACCCTCCCCAGGGTTCCCACTGTAGTTTGACATTCTGCTCAATGCTGCTCTGCCTCTGTATCCATTTTTGTTCATCAGTCTATAATGTTTCTTATTATCCATAAATGAGTGAGTTCATGTGGTATTTTTCTCAGCTTCCCAGGGGCCGTCTCAGTCTCACAGGGGGCCTTTTTAATTTAAAGGGACTGCAAGTTTGCCTAACTGGTTTGTTAAGATGCCAAGTAGCTTGTGTTAATTGACCTTACCTGTGAATCACAGGCAAAATCTGCTAGGAAAAGGTTTTAAAAGAGGATAATGGCAACTACTAGAAATATTGAAAATAATTTACCTTTTAAATGCACCTGTTCTTCATTACTTTTCCAGACAGGGTAGACAGATTTGATATAAGTGTGAATCCAGAGAAGTAGCTTCAAAAGTCTCGTGGATCAGTCCAAAATCTTGGTTTCTAGCCCACTCGTCTGTGCTTTAACTTGAGTTGTAAGTACTCTTAAAGGCCTCCACGTTGAACTGGATCCAGAGAGGTCTTGTGGAAATGAATGCCTGTAACTTCCTGATGCCTAACATGTTCCTAACATACCGGCTCGAATTACTTACATGCCGATGCTAATAAGCACCCTTCCGGCTTACTTACACCTTTCCCCTAAAATCTTAAGCAATGTCTTAAGGAAGGAAAGAAGCATGGTTTAGTGGAGAGAATATGAAAACATGTTCCCGTGAAGCTTTAAGGTATATGAAGGATTTACATTTTGCTTAGCGAGCTATATCATAAATAAATTGGCTTTTTAAATTTTATTTAAGAGGAGAAAGGATAACAGTGAACAGAGCTGTAATGTTATTTAAGAGCAGCCAATTAATCGGTGCAAAGACTTCTCTTTTCCCTTAAGAAGCATTTAAAAGCTATTTTAGATTTAAAGAAGAAGTTATTTTTTTGTTTGAAAATGGAATATAATGGTCATAAAATTATGGTTTTGGAAAGTGAACTTTATTGCTTTGTGTGAGTGACCCTGATTAAAGAATAGTGATGAGAGTGGTGGCCATGTTGAAATGGGCCAGGTGCTTTGGACACTTCTTACCCTTCCCAGTGTTATATGGAGAATATTGAAACTAGAAATTAAATTAGCCTGTTCACGTGCAGTAGTAGGTGCTACTAAATAAGTGAGGAGCATTCACAGATGGTATTAGGTACCTCTTGTGGTATTCAACATTAATAAACACATGGATTTATATAAATAAATTTTTTTCAGGAACAGTATTCTAGATGTATTTTGTTTTTTAAAAAGTATTACTGCCCTGGTTGGTGTGCTCAGTGGTTAGAGTGTTGACCCGCACACCAAAGGGTCTCTGGTTCGATTCCCAGTGAAGGGCATGTACCTACCTGAGCTGTAGGTTCTATCCTTAGCCCCTGTCGGGGAGTGTCTCTCTCTCACATTGATCTTTCTCTCCCCCCGACCCCACTTCCACTCTCTCTAAGACTCAATGGAAAAAAATATCCTTGGGTGAGGAGTAACAAAAAAAAAGGATTAATATGTTTTAATAGTGTGCTTTCCTAATACATTTATGATACTTTATACATTGAAATTTCCCCAAATCTTGTTATTGATATGTTGGTTTTCTAGATAGAACTTTCAGCTTCAGTGAGAAGCAAACTCCAATATAAGATTTGTTTTTGTTTTAAGAAAATTGAAATTCTAATCTTATTAAATCCATTAATGATAGGAAATTATTTTTAGATGTTTTAAATTTAATATAAAATACTTAATAAAATAGGGGCTTATCATTATTTCCTTCCTGGCATACTTTGATGTAAGGTAGGCATTTCTCATCATTGCTCTTTTTGTCATCGAACAGGTTGTTTTTGAGATTTGTTGCGTATGTTGCACTGACAGATTCTTGAACCATTGAATTACATATGGTTCACAATTATTGCATATGGGCTACAACAGGGAGCCCCCTGGATTTTGAAGACAAAATTAAGAAAGGTCATCACCCTATGAGAGTTTTTCTAGTATAAATCTTGTAAGTGCAGTTCTGTCTGCACTTTACAATTTGGTTAGTTTATCTCTCTCCCCCAGGGAACTGCATGCTTCCTGAAGATAGTACTGTGTCTTAATCATCTTTGATTCCACAATGCCTAGACCAGTGATGGCGAACCTTTTGAGCTCAGCGTGTCAGCATTTTGAAAAACCCTAACTTAACTATGGTGCCGTGTCACATATAGAAATTTTTTGATATTTGCAACCATAGTAAAACAAAGACTTATACTTTTGATATTTATTTTATATATTTAAATGCCATTTAACAAAGAAAAATCAACCAAAAAAATGAGTTCGCGTGTCACCTCTGACACGCGTGTCATAGGTTCGCCATCACTGGCCTAGACAGTGCCCTCACATAGTAAGCATTTAGTTAATGTTAGAGTAATGCATAAAGTCATTCACCCTGAAGAGCTGAATCATAAATGCATGGCTGATGAGCCAAAGGATTTCCTGATTCTCTTCTCAAAACCTGGGTGAATTCTCACAGAAATATGACTGAGCCATAGCTTTTCCTAACTATAGTCATACATTTCCAGACTGTAGCAAAGCTGATACTCCATGGGATAGTCATATGTATTATCAAATAAGATACAGTATTTTAAGTGACTTTGCCATAATGCTTGGTGCCTAGTAGGCACACAGTAGTGCTAACTTTTGTTTCCTTCTTTCATTTCTCCTGAATTTTGTATGAGGGTCACCAAGAAAAATCTTTTTAATGGTAGGAAAAATTGTCCTTCTATTTGGACAATTATTCATAGCACTTCAATGTCTAGTTTGGACACACCCAAATTAATGATTCTGCTGGAAAGAGAAGTCAGAGCAACTGGCAGGCAGAACTGGTACACAGAATAACCTAGACAATGGACCTGCCCAGTTTCACAATATTTTTTAGGCTGGCTGTTCAAGTCATTATGTGTTCTAGGATTTTATTTACATATATATGGATGTGTATGCTTGTATATATTCAATTTTTAAAATTTTACGTCCTTTTAAGCTACTCTCGAGAAAGAGCTAAATGCATAAAAGCTATTTTATTGGCAAGGAGTTGCAGCAGCCCAATAAATAAACCTGACAGGAGCCTGTGTTTTTACTAGCCAAGAATAAAGTTTTTCTCTATTCTGACCAATGACTCTACTATAAACTTTAATTCCTTTTGAAAAAAATAAACAAACAAGATAGAAACAGACTCATAGATACAGAGAACAGACTGACAGTTGACAGAGGAAAATGGGGTGGGGAGTTTGGTAAAACAGGTGAAGAGATTAAGAAATACAAATTGTTCCTAGCCGGTTTGGCTCAGTGGATAGAGCGTCGGCCTGCGGACGGAAGGGTCCCAGGTTCACTTCCGGCCAAGGGCACATGCCCAGGTTGCCGGCTCGATCCCCAGTAGGGAGCGTGCAGGAGGCAGCCGATCCATGATTCTCTTTCATCATTGATGTTTCTGTCTCTCCCTCTCCCTTCTCTCTGAAATCAATAAAAAGTTATTTTTAAAAAAGAAATATAACGCCGTATCCGGTTTGGCTCAGTGGATAGAACGTCAGCATGCGGACTGAAGGGTCCCAAGGTTCGATTTCGGTCAAGGGCATGTACCTTGGTTGTGGGTACATCCCTAGTAGGGGTCGTGTAGGGGGCAGCTGATCGATGTTTCTCTCTCATCGATGTTTCTAACTCTCTATCCCTTTCTCTTCCTCTCTGTAAAAAAAAAAAAATCAGTAAAATATTTTAAAAAAGAAAAGAAATATAAGATCCAATGGACTGGCCTTCAAAAAAAAATACAAAATGGTAGTTACAGAATAGTCACAGAGATGTAAATTACAGCATAGGGAATATAGTCAATAATATAATAATAACTGTGTATGAGGCCAGGTGGGTACTAGACTTATTGGGGGTATCACTTCATGAATTATATAAATGTCTAACCTCTATACTGTATACCTAACACTATTACAGAATAATATTGAATGTAAACTGTAATTTTAAAATATATTCCTTTTGTTTCTTTGATTTTTATTATTTATTTTATTATTACTGTGGGTAATGTGTCAGAATACAATCTTGAATATGATAAATGTTAACTCTGAATACATTTGTTATTTTTTTCTTTCCATTCAAGATAAGCTTTCATTGGAAGGAATAGTGGTACAAAGAGCTGAATGCCGACCTGCTGCAAGTGAAAACTACATGAGATTAAAGAGGTTGGTGTTTTTTAACTTTAAAATAGTACCTGATATTTCCTTTTGGGGATTGAAATGCATATTTAGATTGCCTATTGACTGCAACTATCGTTATAATTGAAAGGGTTTTCAAAAGCTGTTTGGTTTTAAAACCAAGTAAGAACAAAATTCCAGTTATAAAATAAGTCATAGGAATGTAGTTTACAGCAGGGTGACTACATTTAATAATACTTTATTGCATATTTGAAAGTTGCTAAGAGAGTAGATCTTAAAAATTCTCATCATAAGAAAAAATGTTTTGTAACTATGTATGGTAACTAGCGTTAACTACACTTATTGTGGTGATCATTTTGAAATGTATATGATTATCAAGTCATTATGTTGAACAACTAAAACTACACCTAAAAATATAATGTTATATGCCATTTATACTTCAGGGGTTTTTTTGTTTTTTGTTTTTATATATATTTTATTGATTTTTTACAGAGAGGAAGGGAGAGAGATAGAGAGTCAGAAACATCGATGAGAGAGAAACATCTATCAGCTGCCTCCTGCACACCCCCCACTGGGGATGTGCCCACAACCCAGGTACATGCCCCTGACCGGAATCGAACCTGGGACCCTTCAGTCCGCAAGGCTACGCTCTATCCACTGAGCCAAACCGGTTTCGGCTATACTTCAGTTTTTAAAAACCCCAAGTAAGAGTTTCTTTGGTAATGGAACTTTCAGAACATGGGCTGTTTATAATATGGAATCAAACATTTTAAAACTTCTTTTTTTAGTTGTCCATATAAATCTTGATTTTCCAAAGCTGTGTAATGATATCTTTGTACTATTGTATTTTCAAAGGTTATAATCTTCCCATAATATCTAAAATACTACACTGTATAAAGCAAGTATATTAGTAGAATACCATCCTTTACTCTTAATCTGCAGAGAACATTTTATAAACTTATTACTTTGTTAGAGCTTTTGTTTCAGGGTCCTCACTTTCCCACTTTTGTATGTGGCTAACATTTTGTAATTAATATTTAAAGAATGACTACAAATTCTTGATATTTTAAGTTTTTCGACTTTCAGAGGCAGCAATTTTTAAACCCTGAAGAATTGTATTATACTTTTATAGTTTATATTGAATGTATTTCAACCCCATATAGTTTAGAATCATAAATTTATTTGTTTCAGTACTTACTATGTGAAACAAAACAGACGAAATTCTGCCCGGTGGAGCTTCATTTTAGTAGACTGTAACTACACAGAGCTGGTAGTTGAGAATACCTGCTCATGTGGTAGTGGCAGCCTCTCGGATTTCAGTATTCTCATTTATAAAAGAGGCTGGTTGAGTTGGATCATCTCTAAATTGCACATCATCTTTTGAATTTTTCCCCTCTTCTCGATTAGATTAGAGTTTATTTCTTGGGAATGAAAAAAAGAGACTGGTTTTCTTGTCCAATAATTCCTCTAATTTAAATGCCTCCCCACAGCAAATAAAAGTATGACAATCAAAATGAAAAAAAATTTATAACAGAAAATAACTTTGGAACTTTTGCAGAAGATGTTTCTCTCTTTGTTTTTAGCCTGTAAAGTCTTTTAAGATTTGTCTTCAAATAACTACTGAAATTGGAAAATGCAAAATCTGGTTACTCAGCTGCTTGCCAAGATTTTTTCTGTGGTCTTTATTTTCTTTAAAGGTTTCTAAAGATTTCTGATAATGAGCAGGCAAGTCGCTGGTGCTTATGAAATGGCTGCTTTTTTTCTTAACAAAAAAGAAATTAAAATTGTTTAGCCTTTATAGTGTGTTAAAACACCAGCCATTGCATATTTCAGTTACTTAAGTGGCTTAAGGAAATAGGGTGCTTCAGGAGATGGTAATCATCTGAGTTTCATAAAACAGATGCCTACCATAAGTTTTGAAGAGGGAGAATTTTTTACCAAGTGGGAAAACACAGGAGTAAGAACACTCTGAACCAGCCATGGGCAAACTACGGCCCGCGGGCCGGATACGGCCCATTTGAAATGAATAAAACTAAAAAAAAGAAGACCGTACCCTTTTATGTAATGATGTTTACTTTGAATTTATATTAGTTCACACAAACACTCCATCCATGCTTTTGTTCCGGCCCTCCGGTCCAGTTTAAGAACCCATTGTGGCCCTCGAGTCAAAAAGTTTGCCCCCCCCCCCCCCCCCCCCCCGCTCTAAACAGAGATATGAAGGCACAAAGACTTGGGGAACACAGTAGAGACTTGCTTATAGTCCTGCAAGCCTGGAATGCAGGATTTGTTGTAGGCAGAACAAACAGAAGCTCCAGCCCAGAACTTTTCTTTGAACTCCAAACTTATACACCCCAAAGCCTGGTTCAATGTCCAGTAGATATTTCGAATATGTCAAAAATTGAACTTCCGCCGAAACCGGTTTGGCTCAGTGGATAGAGCGTCGGCCTGCGGACTGAGGGGTCCCAGGTTCGATTCCGGTCAAGGGCATGTACCTGGGTTGCGGGCACATCCCCGGTGGGGGATGTGCAGGAGGCGGCTGGTCGATGTTTCTCTCTCATCGATGTTTCTGACTCTCTATCTCCCTCCCTTCCTCTCTGTAAAAAATCAATAAAATATATTTAAAAAAAAAAAAAAATTGAACTTCCCATCTTTCCCCAAAAACCTGCTCCACCAGCAGTCTTTCTCATTTGAATTAACTCTGCCCTCCCATTTTGTCAGTCCAGAACCTTGATCACATTCCTGTCTCCTCTCTCACACCCCACTCCAATGTGTCAGAAAAATCTGATTAACACTACCTTTAAATATTACACATCTGCAGTCTGACTGTTTCTCATCACCCACATGATCTGTCATTTCTCACCTGGATCACTGCAGTAGCCTCCTAGCCGAGTTCCTGCTTCCACCTTTGCCCCACTGTAGTCTGTTGTCAGCACAGTAGTCAGAGCAGTTCTCTTAAAATCTGTCAAGTCATGCCATTCCTCTGCTCACATGTCACTTGCAATGCTTGCTATATTATTCAGAATAAAATTAAAGCCCTTGCAGTTGTCTGCAGGGTCCTACATGATCACCCTGTCATTCCGCCCCCTTCTCTCCACATTCATCTCCTTATAGTCCATAGTACTCTAGGCACACTTCTGTAATAGGGCCTTTGTTTTGGATGTGCTTTTCTGTTTGCAATGTATTTTCTCCAGATTAACTGCACGGCTCAACTCCTCACCTCTTTCAAGACTCTTTTCAGATTCTACTTTAATAAGGCCCATCCTGACCATGCTATTTCCTTCTATACTTGTATTTTCTTCATAGCACATAACACTTTCTAATGTATGTACCATATAACTTACATTTATTGCCATCCTTGCTCTAGTGCAGGACAGAATTGGCAATTCAGTACTTGAACTATGCTGTACCTAGATATATCATCACAAATATGCTCAAAGTTTTTCAGGGATGCCCTGACTATCTACTTCTTAACAACATTCAAGTTTTTGATAATCTGGCTCTAGTCTCACTTTCTGACTTCATTTTCAAATAATCTCCTTTACCTAGACATCAAATGGCTGTATCACACTAGAAGTTGTTACCCCAGATGTGCTAGGCACTTTTACATCTTATGCCTTTGTTACATGCTGCATATTCCACCTAGTATGCCTTATCTACCTTCTGCCAAGATCCTTCTGAGGCTTTAAAACCAACCCAGTTGTCACTTAGGGAAACCTTCTCATAGCTTCTACTCCCACTCCAGTTAGGATCTGCCACCCTCCTTTTCTACATTTCACATACTTATTTATTCTTCTTTAATGGTTTATATAAATGTCTGTTTTCTACTGTTTACATACATCTTCTACAAGATTATGAATTTCCTAAAAACAGGGACTGTGAATTTCATTTTTCTTCTCACTCTTCCTCCCTCTTTTTTGTATTCTCTGCACGTAGCATAATGTGTTACAAATATTAAAAACCCAAAAAGATTTGTTGGGTTGAAATGGGTTGAAATAGAAAGGAATGGTGAAACTCCAGGTATAGAAACATAGGACTCAACAACACTCAGCTTCTTTAATTTTCTTACTCTGAACTGCACTTGAAACCTGGAGTTGATTTTTCAGTCCATATACACATGTATATATGCACACATGTGCATATGCATGCACACACGTCTTTCTTTGAGAAGAGGAAGTGATTATAAAACAAGTGTAAATCTATTTCATCAACAATTAAGAATTTTTTCAAAATATAAAGTGTTGAATAGTCTTCCATTTATTTGTCAAAACCTTTTCTTAAGTCAGTAAGGGTTTTTTTGTTACTCAGTGAGATTTTACTGTATTGTATTTTAGCAAATAGCAGTTGAACTACACTTTTAGTACCATAAATGGGTATATTAACAAGTGTATTTTATATCTATATATACAAAAGCCAAGCAACCGGGACGCCGGAACGACCGGTCGCTATGATGCGCACCCCCGGCTGGCCGGCCAGCCTCCCACAGCCACTCCCCCTAGCCGGCCCTGCCCCCATCAGCCCACGCCCCCTCCCTCCCACCGGCCCGGCCCAATAGGCCCACATTGGGGGGGTTGGGGGGGGGCCACATGTGCATGAATTCGTGCACGAGGCCTCTAATTTATAAATAATGCTCTTAAGGATTAGTGTTACTTAACAGGACTTTACTTTTAGTAATAAAGTCTCATAGCTCTCTGCTATTAAATTTTAGTCAGATCTTATAAGAATTATAACTCTCATGTTAATCAAATATAAGAGTCTGTCATTCATTTAGATAAAAGTAGAAATTAGTATTGCAGTAACCTCAAGAAATGTGTAAACCCTTAAATATTCAAGTCAAGAAAGAAGAGAATCTTATGTTATATTTTTTTTTGTTCTATTCCATCTCATAAAATCCCATTCCATTTAGCCACCAAGAAAACCAAAAAAAAAAGCCCAAAGGAAAAAATGCAAATATATTTAATAATAGCTCGTACCTGCTATACTAATTAAATTTTTTTAATTTGCCTTTTTATTAAGTATAAATCTTAGTT